CCTTCACTGGCGCTTCGCAAAAGATGCCTTCACCAGAACGGCAGCCTGGCATGAAACCGGAATTAACCTGCGGTGAACATGTGGAGGAAAGCGCCGTAGTGAGAATTAACCTGCGGTTAACATGAGGAGCCTTCCAAAAGCGCCGTCGTGAGAGCGTTTCTGTGATTCCAAGGTTTATTTTGCATGCCTCCTGGCAGGAGGCTCTTTCAGACCCGCTTTCCTTGACTGCCAGGGAGCTGTGCTGCCCCGACCAGGTTGCGGTTTGCTGCCCTCTCCAAGGAGGACGAGACACTCAACTTCTTTCCCGTTGGGACCAACGTGAGCTACGTCTGTCGCCCCGGCTATGAGAACACCTCGGAAAGTTCCCCCACCAGCACTTGCCTTGGAAACCTGACGTGGTCGGAAGCTGCTGAGCTGTGCAGGAGTGAGTGTCTCTGCTCCGCTCCGCGTGCTGGAATGCAGCCGGGTCGTTATTATCCCAACAGCTACACGCTTCGTACAAAATTAGGTGGATATTCCTTGACGTTCCTATTTAAGACAGAACAGCAGGAGTATCAGTAACGTTCTTTTTTTTTCTTTTCTGTTGGCATAAATAGATCTGTTTTGATTTTTATGTTAGAAAATACGTTCACATCCAGACACGGCGCATGCACAGGGCAAATGCCAATTTGCAATCCTAGTGTTGAACTACAAAATGCAGACAGAGCATGTTTCTTGGTGAAATCCATGTAACGTTAGGACTGATGATGTGGCAGCCGTACGTTTTTCACTGTCGAGTAACTTATTGCCAATCTATTGCGATGGAAATATCTCTGCAAATAGTCTCCTCCGCCCTGCTGTGGGAAGCTCACCGCGGTGAGCGTGGAGCCCTTCCAGGGATCCACACCTTCACCTGCAGCCTCCTGCCAGCTGGGAGTAAAACGCTTTGGTACCTCTGGGTACAACGCTCCGAGTCTGTCCCTTACGCAGCCTCTTTCCTTCCTCCGTCACGGTGTGTTCTGCTGACGCTGCTCTTGTTCTCCGGCAGAGAGATCCTGCGGCGAGCCGGGAGCGCTGCCCGGGGGCAGGCTGGTGGCGCCCAGGGGCTTGCAGTTCGGCGCAAGGGTGAACGTGTTCTGCGAAGACGGGTGAGTGGCGGGGCGATGCCCCGAGCTCCAGCACTCCGGTGCCGATGCCGGAACACAAACCCCTGCTCCAGCACAATGAACTCGTGGACACGGGCTGGGCTGCTGTTTCACAGCGTGTCGCTCCGAGTGCAGAGCACGGGGCTGCTTTTCCCACTCCTTTACAGCTTTGGGCCGGGAAGGAGTAAGACACAGCTGGAGGGAACAGACTGGGGTCTGAATTTATGGCCACCTTTTCCCTCAAGTGCCATCCAGAGGAAATTTAACTGCCCCAGGGTATTGATCCCAACAGGGCTGGTTGTGCCATCGGTTTGTAACTATAGAATTCAAAACATACTTCAATTTAACATATTTGAGATATATTGAATAAAAAGAGGTTATGTTTGAATTTTAAAAATTGAATGATTTTCAGCTAGAAAACTGCAATGAAGCACACTTCCCGTCAGGCAGCGAGCTGACTCACGCTTTCTGCCTGCTTTCAATCAGGGCACATATGCAGTAGATTGACTTGCAAAATTAAGCTCTTAAGACTCCAGCTAGTATTCCTCCCTCCCTAGCAGGAACCAGCTGGCATCGCCTGGCTTGTTCTGTCAGTCTTTGCAGCTGTTTAAATGTAACAGAGTTTTCTTTTCTCCAGATATTCCCTTAGGACGGACTTTGGGGAAATGACAGCATGGCCCACCCTTCTGGGGTTCCATATGTCTTCAGCAATACACATCAGGGTGGAGGGATAATGTCATCCATCTAAGCAGGATCAGATACTATCAATCGTGTCCAAATGATTTTTTTTTTTTTGAACAGGAAGATGTAATTCAGAGATTGGGGAAGGTGTCGGTGCTGTCAGAACAAGATGTGTTAGCCTACAGCAAGCCAACCCAAAAGCCACTTTCGGGAAATGTAGATCCCCCCTTGCCCCTCGCTGGTCCCCGCTGCCTGCAGTGGATGCACTTGAATATTTGCTGAGAACGTGCGCTGGCAGTCTGCTGTCGTTTGCTTTTCTGGCAAAACATCAGCAAACCAGCTACACCCTTACAACCCCAAAGCGATGTCCTAGGGAGGAGGTGGCACTGAAGGACACTGGGCACCCTGTCCTCTACCACAGCGCCAAGGCTTTCGGCACCCCCAGCTCACTGACCTCGGCAATGCAGCACCGCTGTGAAGAGGAGCAGCCGTCAGGGGCTGCGCCAGAGCCTTTAGAGATGCTGAGTGTGCTCAGGAGGGAGCCCCTCACCTCCTCGCCTCATCCCGGTGGGTGACAGCGGCGTGGGAGAGGCGCTGGATGCCACCAGCTCGAATCCCAGCGCTGTTCTCCACCAGGAAGCAGCAGGGGACGTAGTCCCTGGGTCAGCAAATCTGAGCCCGATGCAGCCGTGTGGGAATCCACCTCTCACCTCAGCATTCCCTGGCGTTCAGGGCGTGCTCTGCTGGCCACCAGCTACGACTTCTCCCACCCCTGCAACGGAAGATGCGCCCTGCAAAGAGTCAAAGAGGCTCACAGGGGTTCTGGCAGAGAGCAAGGTGAAGGAGCTCTCCTGTCAACCAGCTTGGATCTGCACAACTGCCTGCTCTAGAACTGCCTTTTCTACCCTCCTGATCACACTGGTACTGGGGAAAAAGATTGTTCTCAATTTCTGGATAGTTACGCAAATCTTTCTTTTCTTGTGTATTTTCATTTAGGTACAAACTAGACGGGAGTAGTTTCATCCAGTGTCAGCTTAAAGGAAACAGTGTTGGATGGAGTAAACTTCCAACTTGTGAATGTAAGATTAACCCAACCTTACTTTTGACTTCACTGCAGTAGATCTTGCACCCTAGCGTCTAGTCTAAACCTGTCTTCACACATTGTTTTTGTGGATATTATGTGGGGGATCTGTCACCAACACCACAGCAGAGAAATACCCATTTTGCTGCTGACGCTGTATTTCTGCGGTTTTCTTCCCACAAGATCAACGTGTTTTGTCGCGGCTTAAGGTAGCAGTGAAGGTGATGGGATGAGAGTTTGAGGAATCGCAAGCCAGGGCATGGCAAGTTGCCTGTTTATTTTTGTGACCCTTAGAGTGAGAGGGAGAAAAATATGACAATAGAAACACTTCAGAAAGGAAACAGAGATGATCCAGACAGAAGGCAGTGCTCGTTACCCCCCTTCAGTTGTCCATAAAGTTTATTCCCTTCAAGAGTCTTAGGTGAACTCTTAAGAATCACTTTGCCTTTTCATTGTTACTGAAGTTTTTAGCAACACTCACGTTGACCTTCTTTCCTGCAGTAATTACCTGCTCTTCGCCTCCTCAAATCGGCCATGGAAAGCACGACAGCGATGGTGTAGAAAAATTTGCGTATAACTCCACAGTGACTTACAGCTGTGACTCCGGCTTCCAGCTCGTTGGCAACGCGAGCATCCGTTGTATGAGTACGGACAAAACCAGCGGAGTCTGGAGCGGAGCTGTGCCTGAGTGCAAAGGTGGTTTCATCGGAGTTTAGTATTTATTATTTATTATTTAGCATGCACCAGCTTAACACGTTGTGATTGCTCAGTACAGGTCATTTGGCGTAAGTCATGTTGCAATTTTAAAGAGGAAAAAAATGCGGTGCTGCTAAAGAATGAACGGCCTGTGCAAGAAAGGCACAGCGCTCCTAGCAACGCGTATTCCTTGTGCCCTAGAGAAAACCACATCGGTCAAACTTGGAGCAAAAGAAATGGAAAGGAGTCCTCTTCCCCAAAGTGAGTTGAGACGGTTCTACATCGAATTGAGTCCCACATTTCCCAATTTAATTTGCTCCTTTACAACGTTTCTATGAAAAAGCCATTTGATGAATGTCACGCTGTGGTTTTCATCCTTTCAGGTTTCCGTGGAAATGGCATCCAACCGTCTAAGAAGGCTTCCAGGTGGGAAATGAAGCTCAGCCTTTATAAAAAGTCACTCCAAAATACCATCTCCTCCTCCCATTCTTCTTTCTCCAGGATACCAGGTCAGTCCTGGAGGCTCATTTGGAGTTCAAGAGAACTCATCAATGGGACTCCCTGGTTATTCCCAGTCCTATACCCAGAGTTTCCGTTTTTTCATGTGTTTCTATTCAGTGTCGAGGAGCTGCGCTACCTCGGCGTTCAGATTTGTTGTACCTCTGTACAAAACCCCAAACTACTATTCTCCCGGGACCAGCCAAGGATCTGTGTGTCTTCCAAAGTACATGGGGATCTCTGGCATCCGCCCCCAAGCTGGCTGCTTTGCAAACTTAAAATGGTCTAAAGTTGCATCGTTTTGTGGAAGTGAGTGATTTTTTTTTTTTTTTTTGTCATGTTCTTTTCTTCTATAAATTTTCTCTGTATAATTTGTATTTTTCCCTGGTTGGGCACCTGGTTCAAAGCTCGGGTTTGACTGCATTGACCTCCTCCTCTTACAAAAGCTTTGCTTCGTCTGAAATATATTTTCACTTGTCAATTGTTTCCTTGCCCTCACGGTGTTACGAACTTTATCTCATTTTTTGCCATATTGAAAAGCAAGAGGGAACTTTGTACCGCGTTGCCTTAAGAGTGCCGGGGCTTCCGTCCTTGTCCCGGCAGCGAGAGGCAATGCCCTAACGCTAACCTTGCTCCACACCAGCGAGGTCGCGGGCAGCCAGGAGAAGCTGGACGTGGCAGAAGTGCTGCTACAACAGATTCCCCATCCGCTGCAAAGGATTGTTTTACTCGTAAAAAGGGTGAGTGTCAGCTGCGTTGGAAACGGAGTCTGGGTGGGAACTATAAGCATGTAATTGTAGGTAATGAAGACAGAACACCCACTGGAGGGTCTCGCCACCCAACGGGAGAGCGGATGAAAAGCATTTCTGCGGTGTCAGGGTCAGGCTGCACTTGCCCATCCCCGAGTCACGTCTCTTGGGTCAAAACCAGACAATCTGTCACCCCTGTTGTGGGGTGTGTGAACCCGCACAGCCCGGGGCTGTTGCACAAGTGCGATGAGGCTGGTGGTTAAGCCCAGGTCCAGAAATGCCCCGTGCGGGTGCAGCGTGGCCGAGGGGGAAGGGGGGGGATTTCCCCCATTGCTGCATCTTTTCTCAAAGGTGGGGTTTGTTCCAGCCGCCCACCATCTCCAGGGTGATGGCTGGGACCAAAACCCCAAGGTATTTGTCTGGACTGTTAAACAAGAACCAAAGAATCCCACTTGCGGGGTTAAAGGCAGAGCAATGGGGCTGCACAGCTGGGCACTTGTGGAAGCGTCTGTAGGAAAGACACTGCAGTGGCATCAGTGCTTTAAAACAAGGAATGAGCTAGATCAGGTCTGTCCCACATACAGCATTTTTTTCACTGTGCTATGTTTTAACGTACCAATGAATTGATTGAAAATTACTCACGCAAGGGTTGGCTAATTCCATAGTTCCTTCTCCCTTATGAGTTTTTCTCTCTTTCAGCACTTTCCTCCCAACATCCCAAATCCAGTTACGATTCCCTACTGGTCTGACCAGCCTTTTTTCAGGGTGGGGGTGGGAAGCTGCAGTTTCTCAGAAACTCCTCAGGCTTTCTGCAGAATTTCTGACCGAGCTCGGTTATGTCACAACCCATTTGACTCGGTGTTTCCACAACCGCCCATTTCCTCGCTCGCTAGCAACGCCGACCTGCTGCCACAACAGTCACCGTAAATACAGACTCCCAGGACGGGCTGTGAGAGACCCACATCTCGCTGCCGAGCGGAGCTGCTCCTTTAACTCACCGGGAATTTCTGGCTGTAGCACGGCCCAGTTGCCGATACACCCTTGCCAGCTGCCAGCAGGGTCGTGCTGAAAGCAAAATACTGACTTCCCCGTCTTGCAAAGTTATGAGCTCGTTTCTTTTAGGAAACCATAGTACTTTACACGCTAAATTGATCGTTGATCTTTACATCTTCAGTACTTTAAGCACTTTGTTTAGCAAAAGCTTTTTTGTGTATCATACGTAAGTTCTTTGCAGTTTATATTTCTGTTTGGACTGTACGAAAGATAACAGCCACCAGCAGTCTGGGTATTTACTAACC